CAAAGTAAATATTTTTGCCTGTGGAGTTTGGATTCTTGTATTCCAGTATTGAATAACATCTTCTGGTCATCCATTAATCATGCTAAACATAATTTTCTTCCCTTTCTTTTTTGATGCTAAATGTTCAAAAGCAACATTCTGTAATTGGTTTCAAGATGCACATATCTAAAATACCTAATTATTTGTTTGCCCTTGTACAAGGTTGTTACTGTATTCAAGTGTACGTATATAATTTCTCATATAGAGGCTAGAGAATAATTAACGAATGTTTAATGTATTTATTACCTTTATACCTTTCCTTCAGTGAGGTGCTATACATGGCTTTCCTCTTTCCTGTTTTATCATCACAACAACTCTGTATGGCAAATCAGGAACTCAGGGCAATATACTTTGCTTTCTCCCCTCACTGCACTCTTGGAATAACTCTGAGATAGGTTAGATTGAGCTGAGAGAGGTTTTTATTGGATAAGAGAGTATAATGGTGGAAAGGAGACTTGAGCTGAGTTTCCTATTTCTGATTTTTATTCTTTTTAATGGTGTAGGATTATGGGAAAGGGAATTTAGGGTTGGGGGTGGTAGGTATGGATAGGGAAAGGGTAAAATTCCAGAGAGTGAGTTAGTACATTTACATCAACTTGTATAAACTTGTACTAAAAAGAGATAAAAAGAAAAACAGCAAATTTTTCCAGTATTACTGTAGTTACTAATCTATCTATTCCCTGATTAGACCTTCACATTCTTCTTTAATCTATGCTTTCCAGGTTATCTTTTGAATCTAATTATGAAATTATTCCCTATATATCCACCAAGCATAATAAAAGTCTCCTGTGTTTTATGTTTCCAAACTATTTATACTGTATCTTTTTAAAACTTTGTTGGTATTGTATACCATATATCAATTGCAACAGTGGTCCCCAATGGATCGGTTGTGGGGGGGGCACTGTGTGGGCAGCACCCCTGTGCTTGCAGGTGGGCAGGGCATGTTTGTGGGTGGGCGGGCATGTGCATGTGCAGATGGCAGGACACGCTCGCCTACATGAATGGGTAGGCGGGCTGCACTTGCGCACATGTGTGCATGGGCAAGGCACTCCGTGCATGTATGTGTGGGCGAGCAAGGCATCCGTGCTGTGGGTGGGTGGGCCGTGCATGTGAGTGGGCGTTCGTGGGGGGTGGGAGATCTGTCTCCGCGGCCCAGTCCTGCCAAGGCCACGCCCCGGTATCAGGCTGGGGACCCTTGATCTATAAAACATGTGCATTTTCTTTAATAGTTACTGATTTTTAAATATTAATATTATTCTATCATTTTATACCCATTATATTCTACAGTCTTTAACCATTTTATTTATTTAGTCCATTTTTATTGTTGAGGTTTTCTTCCCTCCTCCTGGATCCTCTTGTTTCTATAGTGTGCTTTCATTTATAGCTTCTTGCTTGCTCTTCTACTGTAGTCGAGCTTCTTTCTGCCTCTGATCCTGATGATCCACTTGATTTCTCCTCTTCTCATTTCTCATGTGCTTTTTTCTCCTTTTTTCTGCCCAGCCAATTCTCCTCTGTTTTCACAAAATCTTCTGCCTTCCGATTTGAGTTAATATAATAACTCTGCTCCTGGAATTCAAAGAGGACACCTTCAGGCACCAACCATGTATACATACTGTAATTGAGTTTGTTCTCAAGAGGGATGTCAACTCCGCATATTGTGTCCTTTTCTGTCTTATTTGCCACACAGTATTTTCAAGATCTTAAGTTCTTTATATTTTCTATTAAATTCCTTGCCTTGTATATTTCTTAGAACTTTATCTCTAAACATCTTTCTCGTAAATTTAACATGAATTTTTCTGGTGAGATTTTTATTCCTGGTATATGCTGTATTAAGTGCTGTGTATTTTGTTGAACATCCTCTGTTTGCATCTCCATGAGCAATGCTAAATAAGTAGTAATCACTTGCTCTGTGTCTTCTCCTTGTTGTTCTGGTAGATTCTGGAATCTAAGTGGCATTGCCGTTTTCCATTTGTAGATTTAACAAAGTAATTTCATCTTGCTTGCTTTCCCGTTTTAGCTCTCGCATCTCTGTATTCAAGGACTTCTGTTCTTTTTGATGTCCCATCTATTCTGCCTATTTTTTTTTTACTTTCTGTAATTTGATTTTCAGTGTCAGCCATTTGCATCCCTAAATCTTTGATTTGTACACAAAAAGACTTGAAGTGAATTTCCATAGGCTTTTCTAACACATACTTCCACATTGTTTTACGTCTGAGAATCATAGACTTGTAAGAGACGGGATGGATCCCAAGGATCAGTAACTGCTTAAGCAGTTTTAAAAGAGGTAGCCATGTTAGTCTGTGCAAGCATATCAAGCAAAATGAAAGAAAAATTGTGGCACCTTAAAGACTGTCAGATTTTAATGTACGTTTTGTGGACCTTTGCCAGCTTTTTCAGATATATGAGGTACAGTACAGAGACCACACATTAAAGCATTCATCCCAGGCTCTAAGGGAGAATAGTATACAGTTGCATTTTCCACTTTCAGTGATTTATGATGCATGTTTGGTATTCAGTTTTTTTTAAGTTTGCTTATGTAAACATTCCATGAGATACAAAAACAAAGCAAAAGTGAAAAAAGGATGTTGTAGTACTTTAAAGAGTAACACGATTAAATAGGACAACAGAGGGACAATGTGAGTTACTATAATGACAGACTTTACTTTTGAGCCTTATTCTGAAAGATGTGTCTATTAGTTATGAAGGAAAATAACAGTAGATAACACGGCATAATTATTACATTTGGTAATTACTTAAGAAACCTTGACTGATATTCAATCCATTTTTATGTGTGTCCATTATATATATAAATTTTATCTCAGCTGTTTCACTCTGTATTCTTGTTCTGTAGTATTTCTTTTCCAGAATAGCAACTTGTGAGGAGTATCTCGGTAGATTGAAGTGATTTGAGACAGGTTTCTATGTATTTGTGATTTCTGATTTATGCCCATTAATTATTTTGTGTAGAGATGGCCCTGTTTGTCCTATGTAGAGTGCAAAGGGGCACTGTTGGCAAAAGATGGCACAGATCACTTTAGTTGAGGGACAAGTAAAGGTATCCTTAATGTGCATAACATTGTTAGGTTCTGTAATTATATTGCCAGAATAACTCTGGGGACAGAGCTGGCATCTCACTTTGTAGTAGGGTTTAGACCCAATGTCTATTCAGTAGTGTGTGATCTGTTGTGTGTTGTAGTTGCCTGAGATTGGGAGTTGGCTGTAAGAAAATGATAGGCCTGTTACTCAGGGCTTAGGGGAGTGAAGTATTGAGGATGGGCTGGAGATCACTTAAGATATTTCTAAATAGTCTCAGTTGAACTAAAACTGACAACTACTGGTGTTAGATAATTTTCTCTGCATCCCTGCCAGATGGCTATCTGCTTTTATTTTAAACAAGTCCAATAAAATATATTCTACTACCTTTTGAGGTAGTTCATTCTATTCTTGAACAGTTCTTACTGTCAGGAAGTTCTTCCCAATGTTCAGTCAAAATCTCCTTTCTTGCAATTTCGATCAGTTACATGGGGTCTGACCCTCTGGAGCTGAAGAAAACAAGCTTTCTCCCTTTTACAAATTACAGTCGTTTATATATTTGAATATGATTGTCATATCACCTCTTAGTCCAGGCCAAGCATATCCAACCCATTCAAGCTGTTCTTCAGAGCTCTTGCTTTCCACCCCCTGCACCATATTGGTTGCTTCCTCTGGACTCATTCCAGTCCCTTGATTTTTGTACATATTACTATCAAGACCAGGGCCGCCCATCCTATATTTGTGTATTATATTCATAAATGAGGAAATTTGTGTTTTTCGCTGTTGCAACTCATTTTAGTGAATCACACTGGGAATCATTCCAATCAATGTTCCCTCTAATTTTCAGCCCTGCTGGGCGGGGCTGTGCCTCTCTTGCATGCAGTGCCCTCCATGTACGGTTCTGTTATGACCAGAAAAAAAGAGATTGAAAATGATCACTGTGGGTGTTTGGAGATGTAGGTGCCCTGCACAGAAGGAGGTGGAGGCATGCCCACACTTTAGAGGGAAACTTGATTCCAACAAACTACACATCTCAGTTTGGAAGAATTCCCACAAATAAAAGATGGACATACTAACAACCATGCTACAATTATTCAAGGGAAGTTGTTTATACAAATGATTTTGCAGGTTGATCTCTATATTTTAAAGGGCTCCCAGAAGGAAGACCAAATGGGGAAGTTCACTTTCATCAACCATATGGGTGCTGGTGTAGTTGATTACTTTGCAGTCTCCTCATCCGTGGAATTTGCAGATGTATTTCCAATTTGGTTTATTATTCTCTGCCCCCCCCCCCCCCGCCCGGCAGCAGATGGAATGTTTCTGGCATCTGCTTAGTCTGGTAGTTTGTATGAAGGGAAGTTTTGCTATGACTTTTTTCCAGTTGTTCAAAATGTTGGATTCTTCAGAACATCCACAGTCATCCTATTTTTCTGTGTATGTTCTCATGTATTTCTTTGTTGGTAACTGTTTTCCCCCAAAATATTTTTATTGAATGTTTAAGTAATTGGGTGGCTTTTCATCCTAAAATAAGTGAAACATGTATTTTTCTGCTGTACTGAAATAGTTTTTATTGTAGATTGATGGATTTTTCAGTGGATTCTTAAATATTTATTTATTATTTATTTATGTTATTTAATTATTTGATTTATATCTGGTCTATAGGCCACTCTAGGTGGCTTCCAGTGTAAAATCATTCTTTTAAAAATTAAGATGCAATTTATGACCTTTAAAAGAAAGAATTACGTTTTCTTTTAAACTTTGCTCTTGGAGGACTCAACCAATCAGAATAGGGAAATGGGGTAATATTCATTTGTCAGTTCAGATGTTTATTACTTCTCTGGCTAATTTAAGTCTTTTAGAATTCATAAAAACAAAAGAAGCTGAAAAGCTCTGGCATAAAAATTGCATTTTTGTCTCTATTTGCACAGGTCAATCGAACATACTGCTGTGGAACCTATAGAGCAGGCCCAATGAGGCAGATCAGTCTTGTTGGTGCAGTGGATGAAGAAGTTGGAGATTATTTCCCAGAATTTCTTGATATGTTAGAAGAATCTCCATTTCTTAGAGTAAGAATGAAAATTTGCTTATTTTATTTCATTTACAAACTTTAGAAGTCTGTTTATTTTTAAATAATATTAGCATTTTTGATGAACATTTGTAACATATTGGTATGTGACAAAATAAGTAGGAAAGCAAAACCATGAATGAGTATACTTTTACCTTATAAATGAATAAATTGATTATACTCAGATAGTATGTATGTATCAGGTTCTGTAAAAATGAGCTTATGTGTATAAAAATTTCTTTTTGATAAAGGCCCTCTTTATCTTGTTTTCTCTTGCTGCCTATCTGACTTAATTTTCTTTTATGATATACAGATGACTTTGCCTTGGGGTACTCTTTCTAGCCTCAGACTGCAGTGCAGGTCACAAAGCGATGATGGCCCCATAATGTGGGTAAGACCAGGTGAACAGATGATCCCAACAGCTGATATGCCAAAGTCACCATTCAAACGGCGCAGGTAATACTGTAGGGTTGGGAGGAAAGTTGTATTTGTAAAACTCTTCTATAGCTGTTGCACTGAGCCAGATTGCATCATCAGAATAGCCTTCGTTTTAGTATGAGTTGAAGGAAAATAGCTTATGTTTATATTACTGAAATGAATTCACAGTCCTGCCATCTACCATTACAATCCCTCCCCTTCTATTTCTATGTATCCCATATTTTGCAATGTAAACCCCTCAGGATGGGGATCTACTTTTTTTGTTAGATAAGGTGTTAATGTGTGTTGATGGAGTTATATAAATTTTATATAAATTTTAAAAATGAATTTGAGGCTTAAGAGCTTATCACTGTTCCTTCCTTAAAGTTGGTGGCCTGTTCTGGACTCCAATTTTCCTATTTTCTTACCTATAAAATAAGATATCTTGCTTGGTGCACACTCCACCCTGCTTTGTTGTTTTAATTCTCTTGCTCATGTTGGAAATTTTATGTGTTGCAAGAAACAAGAGCTTAATTCTTCTCAGGCACCCTTATGCAGTGGGTCCACAATCAGTGGCTGTTTTTGTTTCTGTTTTTAATTCAGTTCATATGGATTGCAGAACTCTGTTATGCTCAAACAAGGTCACAAGGTCCTCAAATGTTGGACTGCAGTTCCCAGTATCCCTAACTGTTGTCCATGCTAGCTAGGACTTCTGGGAGCCTAAACTTCAACTTCTGGAGAACCATGCTTGCGAGCACTGAATTCGACTTTTTCCCCCCTACTCTTACCTTTTTAATTTTTCATTTCTTCCTAAAACTGTTGGATATGGATATAGGTACGTAGAAAGGAATGCTACCACTGTTTCAGTACGAATTGTGATATTAACACTAAAATAACATTCCTGAAATTCACATTTACTGTTGAATATCCTTGTATAATGTTCGAGTTTGAACATTAAAATCCAACATGATAGGGTGAAGTGTTTTTACTTTTTAATGGCATGGTTTTTTTGCCTTTGTGTATGGGATTTCTGTGTGGGGTCCAGACAGATGAAGAATCCTGAAGACTTGAACACTTTTCTTTCTATGATATTGATAAAAGTATTGCCCAACCTTGATTTGGGATTTTACTCATGGACCATATAACTCCTTCCTTCTTTCCTCTCTCCCTCGTAGTAGAGTTCAAGGATTTTTTTTCTGAGAAGGTAAATGCATGTTTAAGTCTTGTATCTAAGCTGTTCAAAATTTTAAATTATAGGGTAGCTGTCCATAGCTCTTAATCTTAAGAAAAAAACAGAAGATGATATTCACAAGGACTTCACTGAGTTATTAAGGAAGATTTTTGGCTTGCAAGTCTATACTCTAATACCAACAGGAGCCAGAGAAGATTTTTCTAATATGTTCTATGGCATTATTGTCAATTTCACTTTAAGAACTTTTATGTATGCTTCTGCTTACATACAATACAGCATAATACTACCAGCTTTCTTTATCTCTGTACCCTGCTTCATAGATCAATGAATGAAATAAAAAACCTCCAGTATCTACCTCGGACCAGCGAACCCCGTGAAGTTCTTTTTGAAGATAGAACAAGAGCACATGCTGATCATGTTGGACAAGGGTTTGACTGGCAGAGTACAGCAGCTGTTGGAGTATTAAAAGCTGTGCAGTTTGGTGAATGGTATGTAAGGTGTTGTTTTATGGAAATTAGAAAACAAACGTTGTGGAATAGCTCCTACTTTTGTAGTAAAAACTATTATTGCAAAAGGATTATTTGTAGAAACTGTTTAAAAACCAAATTATTATTGAGAATTTGATATTAGATTTGGAAATCTCTAATATCTGAATTTCAGACCATTCCTCATTTGAAAATTCAGGATAGGAAAACCATCTGAATTTCAGACCATTCCTCATTTGAAAATTCAGGATAGGAAAACCTCTAAAAAGCAACTTTACAGTTGATCATTTAAAGTCAAGAACGTATTATTTGTCAGAAATTTGTTTGTACTAAAACTTAAAGAATTATAAGTAATGGAAGAGTTCAATGCAAGTATTCATTAACATAAAGGTGGGCAACTTTGGAGGGTCTGTGGGCTATTCTTTTGCCTCCAAAGCCTGTTGTGGACTACACCACTCCCACTTGCTGAAACTAGGAGAAACCAGATGCCTACTTTTGATATAACCATACCTCCTGCCATTGTTTCACTTTAAAAATCCAGTAAAAAAGCTTGCAGAGACACAGTGCCTTGGTTTCCTGAAGTACAGATTTCCTTGTGGTAACTCCTCCCTTGTGGGGTGTGGGCCATTAGGGTACAGGCACTGATTGGGTAGTGTATTGTGCACCCTGTTAGCAGAAATCCACTGATGAAAGAAATCCTCTCTGTCCTTTCCTCCTGCAGTTCTGTATGCTGCCATAAGATTTGCTACAGAGGGGTTTCCAGACCTGAATAGATTCTGAGGGCAAGTGGGTGGTGGAGTCCACCCACATTATCGTATCTGCTGGCGTACAAGGCGACCGGCCATATAAGATGACCCCCCCCTACAGAAGAGGAGGAGGAGGAAGAAGAGGGGAAGCGGGGGTGGCGGGCGGGTGAGCGAGCGCGCTGGCTCAGCAGCGAGAGGGCAAGGAAGAGGAAAAAGGCTGAGCGGGCAGCGTCAGGAGGAGGAAGAAAAGGGAAACGGGCGGGTGGCGGGCAAGCGAGCGCGCAGCTGGCTCAGTGCGCAGGGCAGCCTGGCGGCAGGCTCTAGCCACTCAGGCATGGCAGGCTGTGCTTCCCCCCCTCCATCCAGACTGACTGCCTGCCTGCCTGCCTGCCCGCCCGCCTTCCTCCCCAGCCAGCGCGGCCCCGCGTCACTCACTCAACGACAGTGGTGGCTCCTTCCTGGCCCAAATGAAGTGCACCCGGTGTATAAGACGACCCCCCCACTTGGAGGCATCTTTTTGGGCCCAAAAAGTCATCTTGTACCCCGGCAAATACGATAGTTGCACTGAGAAAAGGAGTTCAGTAGAGTGAGACCATTGGATCTAGTACATAGTTTTGTTTGTATGTGTTTATGAATGGTCTAGGCCAGGGCATGGGTGGTCAACATGGATGGCGCTAGAGACCATTTTGTACCCTTCACATTTGCCACAAGCCATACTCCTGCCTAGAAAGAGCTAAACTTTGAGAGGGAAAAATCAAATCTGAAAGCAAGAGTTGATCACCATCCACTTCTGTTTTTGATTTTCATGAACAAGATCTATGCCAAAACTTTGCTCCTCAGTGGCTCTAGCAGCAGAAGCACTTCTTTTTGAGAGAGAAAAAATATCCCAGTTAAAAGTTAGAAATATTTATTACCTTAACCATTAGCAGTAGGGTATACAACTTATTTTGTTGCACTGTTTGATTTGGACCTGGTCCGGCATTGACATATATTTAGAATACAGATTGGTTACTTTTGAGCTTCTTAGTTCTCCAGAGGTCTAATTGTATATTCTCAAAAATACTTCTGAAACTCTCATTTTTATAGGAGTGACCAGCCTCGTATAACCAAAGATGTAGTCTGTTTCCATGCTGAGGATTTCACTGATGTAGTTCAAAGACTTCAGTTGGATCTTCATGAACCTCCTGTATCACAGGTAGTCACCACTCTTGCAAATTGAAACTTCTACACTGTTGCAAAGCACAACATTGTTTTCTTATTGTCAGTTTTATTAGTGATCTTTGCTTCAGAACTAAGGACTCTAGAATGATGTAAATGCATGGCCGTTGCTAAATGTTTATAAAAAATGAACGCATACTATAATTTGAGTTTGAACAGAAGTGCCCCAGATAGTCTGATTCCTGTCACAAAGAAGGGCTATCCATTCACTAGTCACAGGTATGACAAAGTGTATGAATCAAAATCATAGTTACTATTTCAAGATAACTTTGCATCAGTTTTCTTAGGAATGGCTTGTTTACTGTATCAATTGTGTGTATGATTTTACTAATACACATGTTGCAGTGGCATGTTTATTTATTTATTCACAGTATTTTTTAGCCGCACCATTACCAGTGGCTTCTGGGTGGCGTACAACAATAGTAAAACTTAAAAACATTGAAAACATTAGAAAGACAATATAAAATATCCTATATTAAAACAATTTTTAAAACATTAATATCAGTAAGTCCTGCTGCTCATGTGGCCAGCTAGAGAATACTGTTTAATTAAAATGCTGGCTAAACAGAAAGGTTTTTGCCTGGCGCCGAACAGCCAAAAGTGTTGGAGCCAGGCGGATCTCTATAGGGAGGGCATTCCAAAGTTGGGGGGGCAACAGCCGAGAAGGCCCTATTTTGACATGCCATCCCCCTCACGTCTTTCAGGGATGGCACCTTCAGAAGGGCCTCCTGGCCTGATCTTAGAAGACAGGCATATGGAAGAAGGTGGTTTAGATAACCAGGTTCCTAAGCCGTTTAGGGCTTTATATGTCAAAGTAAGCACTTTGAATTGGACTGTGTTCACAGTCACATGATCATGTTCGTAGTAAATAAATGGTTGTTCTTACACGTGACCTGTATACAGAAATGCCAGTTCCCAGGAATTCAGTTCCAAAGCTTCAGGAAATTTCGATACATTCCTGAATTTTGGTGAAGTTTATGTAGTTAGTTCTAAGTACAGTTTTAGCTTTCATTTGTGCTTTTGCCTAATTAATAATGAGCAAATGTCATCTTCTCTTCAATTCTGAAGAACTTTCAAGTGTCAAAGCCTCTGTGCTATACAGTCCTGATCCAGTTCACACAGCAGCTTTACAATGAAGCATTATATGAGCAAATGAACCTGTCCAAGCCTTATGGTCACTACCAGAGGGCTTGCTGTTTACCCTATCATTAGTAAATATTAAATCAGTGGGTACCAAGGTCAGGGCCTTTTCTTCTAATTTTTAAGCAGAATTGTGAAGTCTTTTTAATGTCAGAGGGTACGTTATAATCTTTGGTTTTCTTAAATCTTATTTAACATGTTTAGAACTGCTGCAGCTCTTTACATCAATTCATTTCATTCATTAACTAGCACTAGTACTTAGCTTCCCATGAGTTAGTAGTATTTAGATTTTCTCAAAATCACATTGAGGAAAACCATGTGTAAGGGCAATCATGCAAGCGGTCTTTCTATTTTGGTTTCTGTCTGTTGTGTGATCAGGCACACAGTCTTTTGCCCAGACAGAGAATGTGAAGACATGAAATGGATGGCCTGCAAAACAGGAATTGCTTGCATGATTGCCTTTACAGTCACATAAGGCAATAGGATTCTGCCCTTTAAAATTAATTCACTAAAAATAAAGTGACATTTCTCCCTTGAATTGCAGGGATCTGAGCAGCACAGGTTTGGGTTATTTATTTATTTATTTATTTATTTATTTATTCATTCATTCATTCATTCATTCATTCATTCAATGAATGAATGAATGAATGAATGAATGAATGAATGAATGAATGAATGAATGAATGAATGAATGAATGAATGAATGAATGTGGCCTGAGAAAGGTGGGTCTTGGACTTAACTAGAGCCGCCTTGTTGGCAGTGTGGTGGCGTCTGGTCTGATTGTGATGGCCTGGTAGACTCCCTCTCTTACCATGGTGGCTCCATGTGGCGGTGGGGAGGGTGTCGGAGCATGCCAGGAGGCTGACACGGGGGAAGTGTCTCTCTATGTGTGCGTGCAGGTGCATTAGTCAACTGTTCATGCGTTGTAGTTATGTTTTGGGTGCATAAAAGTTATACACTGATTTTGAACTACATGGGGATCTGACACCCCTAACACCAACATTGAAGGGATAAGTGTATTTATTAAAACTCCAGAAGAACTTTGGGCATATATCCTGATATACATAACAAGTTTCAGCTTTCTTTGTTTCATGGTTTTGGAACTATGGGAGAGACAGACATTTTCTCTCTCCTTTGTTAATAGAAGTTTAGCATTCTCATTGTTGCTGTTAAAAATCATTTTGAAAAACAGGATGCAGATTTAAACACTGAAAACAAGAAAAGTTTTTATGGAGAACTAAAAGCCATGGTTAAGAAGTGCAGAATCAGATTGTATGTTCTTTGGTTCAAAGTTTTTCTATGTTAGAAACCAAAGCTCTTGTATGATGGTTAAGGGTTGAGAATGTAAGGTTTTGGATCTTTCCTCACTTGCCCAAATCTAGTTAAAATTTATTTAGGTGTTATTTTTAAACTCTTTAACCTCTAGATTTCCTTGTCTCCTGTTGTAGTTGGGTTATTATGAACTTTTGCTCATTTAATCAATGTGTACTATATCATAAAGTGAAAAATGGGGAAGAATACTGTACACTGCAATCTATATATCTATTTTGAATCCAATGTATGATTCATTTCTAATTTCTTTTCTCCTTCAGTGTGTTCAGTGGGTCGATGAAGCTAAGTTAAACCAAATGAGACGAGAAGGAATTCGCTATGCTAGGATCCAGCTATGTGACAATGACATCTACTTTATCCCTAGAAATGTCATTCATCAATTTAAGACAGTCTCAGCTGTCTGCAGCTTAGCTTGGCATATAAGACTCAAACAATACTATCCAAAAGGAGATAATTCTCAAAGTACAGAAAGCATTTCAAATATGGACAGTACTATCCATGATAGGATGAAATCAGAGGGTGAAGATCATTGTGTGCTTGTGAAAAAGGAATCAACAGAAGTAAGAAGAGATGTACAGACTGCAGCAGTGGCATCACCACCATTGTTTTCATCTCTGTCGTGACCTGTCCTGCAACAAGATAAGCTGGTTCAACCTCTTCCAGTTTTTAAAAGTAGAATCAGATCAGCAACACAGTCCACAGAATACTACATGCTCTCTTGTGTGATATGTACATAATCATATACATTTTTAAAATGGCTTTTTAAAATTTTGATGTGAAGTTATAGTTTTATAACTGGGTTATGTTTTATTGGAGAAATATTGACTATAATTCTATAAAGAAAGGTGACATTCCAAAAATGTCAAGCATATCTTTTTTACACAGATTATGCAAAGTTAAGAGTTGTATTTTACTCCCTTAGTACAGCATGTAGAAGTGGTCTACATTTTTGTGTGTGTGTTTTCTTAAAGTGAGGTAATAATTCAGCATTTCTTCAATTTTTTTTCTTCAGGAACATCACATATTTAACATTTAGTAAATTTGATACCCCTCCATCAATTTTATCTTTAGCTTTCAGCATAAAAGGAATGGTTTCTGTGTAGGATTCTCCCATTCTGTTAGTGGCTTGAATGAAAGAGAGAGCACAGCACTTTTTTATGATCAATGGTCTGTGTGTGTGTGTGTAGGCGTAGGAAGAGATGTACAGACTGTTTTCATCTCTGTCGTGACCTGTCCTGCAACAAGATAAGCTGGTTCAACATCTTCCTGTTTTTAAAAGTAGAATCAGATCAGCAACACAGTCCACATGTGGTTACATGCTCTCTTGTGTGAGAGATTGAGATTGAGATTGAGATTGAGATTGAGATTGAGATTGAGATTGAGATTGAGATTGAGATTGATTGCTTTCCCATGTGTGTATATGAGAGAAAGGACTTTGAAAGCCTGGCAGAAGCTCGAGTTACCAGCAGTGTAGATTAATCTGTAATTGCTTATCAACACATACACAAAGAAGTTGAGATTAGTTGCAGAGTATATGATCTTCTTGAAATGTAATAATTAACATTACACTTCCTATATCTCTGCTTTTAACGTTTGTGGGAATATTGCTTTTTAATATCTTCCCTAACTACATACATAATACTAGTGTCTAATGAAAGTAACTGTTGGCAGTCTCTCTGAAGGAACTGCTGTCTTTGAGCACTTTAAGGCTTTACAATTTTCTAAGCAACTTGTTGGCTTGTTTGATTTATAGCAAGCATTTGAGACCGAAACCATCAGCTCCTTTGCATTGATGCACTTAATCCAGTAGAGTAGGCTTAATGATATATATCGGTTGCCTTTATTCTCAGAAAATCTATATTGCTGTTTCACAAATAATTATCACAAATGGACTGCTGTTTCCACATATAACTCTTGAGTATCCTAGTGCTGTGGTGGAAGATTAGATGGCACATCCTAGTATGTTCAATGTCATTAGCTAACACTGTTTAACACTCATACAATATTTCCCAGTGTTAATGATAATTAACTTTCACTCATTGTCTGTATACTTAATTACATTTATTTCTGGTACTGGAAGAAACAGGCCCCTCACATGTAAGATGTAAACTTCATTACAGTGTATTCAAATTGCTTAGAAGCAACTCTGTTCCTATAGAATAAAGGACAGATCTGGAGCCCTGCACCAATCCAAGCAGAAAAAGCAGCTATGTTTATTTTCGTGCATCTTTGATATCAATCTTTTAGAAAATTTTGCAAATGTTAATCTGTTCATAATAGGAATTACTTTGTGCAATATTGTTTTATGTAGACTATATACATAGTAACATCTCTTTATAGACAACAGGTTTAAACCAATAGCAAAATAATCAGATAATATTGCAGTGATTTAGGTAGAACCTGTATTACTCCTGATATTTTATACACATATATGTATTGTCTTTGGTTCATCACTGAAGACAGATAGAAAATATTTCAACTTAAATTGAATTTTCAGGTTGGAGTGGTGGTGACTTGTTACGTAATCTGTGTAAATAAGGTGTTAGACTGAAAATCTTTTTACAGAAGGTAATGTGTTTTCATGCAGGAGTGTAGCTTTTGATCTTTGAAAAAAAAAATCTAGGTTGACTAACACTGGTTCAGAAAATAACCTCTGTGTACTCTGGCTTTTCCAACCTTTTTAAAACTCTTGTTCAGAAGAATTTTCATAAGCTTTAATCGGCTGTGCAAAGTAAAATTCTTCACAGGCAATATTTGTTTCAGTGCATCATTTATATTTGGTTAGTTCCATCTTTATTTTGCATGTATTTTCCATTCATTTTACTAGTCTTCCAAGTATTTTTTTTCTCTTTACCCATGCATTGTAAATGGCCATGTCTGCAAAGGTGACTTCATGCTCCTTTCTTGGACATTTCAGTTAGCATGGGTAACTTGTCACCTGCAAGTTAGCACTGTGTATAAAATCACTCAGGAACTGGAAAAAAATTAAAACTATAGAGTTCAACTGAAAACTATATATTGTCTTTCCTTTTTGGGAAATATAAAACATAAAATAACTGAAACCAACACATTCTAAAAGGTAACAAAATAGAGGCGATCTAGAATATGACATAGAATTAATATGGAAAAGATGGTGTAATGCTACTTGTCCCTCTGCAAATAAAATAACTCCACTGGTAAGGGAACCAAGACCCACTGAAGACTTCCCACTGGAGACGATTTCCATCTATTCCTCATTCTCTTCAGCAGTGCCATCTCCCACAAATTTCTGAGTATTCCCTTAACCTCCAGAATTCCTTTCCAGGTAGCAACAGGAGGGGAGAGGAATTGGCAAAATTTGCCACCCTGCTCTTTCCTCCAGGATTAATTGTATTCTGTTGACCAAACTTCTGATCCAACCCAATAGTTCCAAGTCTTTTTGTATTACTATAGCATTAAAATTCATTATCCAAAACAACTAAGAAGCTTATGTAGATGGAGAACTTTGGACCAATCAATGTTCAATGCTTTTCAGAGTCAAAATTTGTCAGAATTACACTATGTAACATATATTTTCATGCAGCATACCGACTAGGCAAGTTTCAATACCTATCTCACACTCATCTTAGTTTCACTTTACATATAATTTTCTATAGAAATCTGTTTGAAGCATTTTGGAAACAGGTTAAATGTATGAACTGTCACTACTGAATTTTATGGCCAAGTACCAAAGAACTCTATGCCTGGACTTATGTGTACACACCAGAATTGTGCTGATTTCCCTTTCTGTCTGCATCCCTTTGCACAATGTTGTAGTCCAGAAAACCTCTTGAAATGTAGGGATCACTTTTGTGGGAAATGAGGGTCTTCAGTAAGAAAGTGATAACAGGCCCCAGTGCATGCATGGCCTTTTGAATCCTTCCTAGATTTCTCTCTATAGGAGCAGAGAAAAAGCACCCTGTATTAATGTGGTTATAAATAACATTTCTCTGATTTGAATAAGGAATTCTTAACAAACACCTGAGTGGTGAATATTGATGTAGAATATTATGGAACTGAAAAATGACTGACATACTGGCTTCATGTTTTCTAGATTATTTAGTTTCTTTGCAGATTGTATGAACTTTAGCTGTTGGAGAAGTAAAGAGATTTTTAAATTTATATCTCAGGAAGATGTTAAGAAGTAATTTGCATTGATTGAAAGATTTCAGAAATTTCTGACTTAACTGATATTTCAACATGCATCAATACTTTGTAATATTTATTTGAAGTCAACAGGAAATCTCATGTTATATAAATGGTTGAGTATATAACACTACTACCAAAATGGAATTAAGTTCAAAGGGAGAATTATCTGTAGATTGATTTTATATAGGTAACTGTCCAGCTGGGAGTTTTTCTTCCTCTCTGACTTCTATAATGGTTGAGTAACAGTTGTACCAGGGATAAAGAAACATGTCTTCTGAATGTTTTTGAGTTGCAGCTTCTAGCATCCATTGATTAGGCTGATAAGAGCTATAGTCAAATATCTTCTAGGGGTGACATTTCCCTCCCTTTTGAGTTATACATTCACTAAATTCTGTCTTATGTTTTTATCACTGAAGACCTCACTAAATATTAGCAGTCTCACAAATATATTTCCTGCGTAAACATCTTGAGCAGCTCTAAGATAAACCTAGTTGTTGTTCTCCATCTTATTAAACATCCATTTGTGTTTTTTTAAGGACCAAAGAAGAATATTGATTGTGTTCAGTGGATAACTATACTGGGTCAATCTAATTAGCAGATCTGAAAAAGTGACTAGTATCCTGTTGCTCAAGCAGTGGAGGGAAAGAAAAACATGTAAATGTCCACTTTCCTCTGATGGGCTGCTTGTCATGTGCCCATTCTCATACTGGTCATGCACTCTGAATTAAGGCAAAAGGATACAAGATAAAAAATAAAAAAAACTACTTATATTTCCCCTCTGGAATATTTTTGAACATAAATGTCTGTTTTGTAAATAACATGTTCTCTTCCATGAAGACAGAACATATAGAAGATTCATGAGAGATTTAAGGGACACGATGTTTATTAAACAGGTTTTCCCACACAGTAAAAGGGCTTGTGTTTTGTCAGTAGTTTTCCTACATGTGAGGACTTAGATGGTTATCAAGAGACAAAAGGTTTCATTTATTTCAGAGCCCCAGGACGAACATTTATTTTCTCATGCTGCCTTTCATGTGCTTGAATTTATTCTGAATGGTAAGCTCTTTTCACTTGGGGCCCAATCCAGCCTAAGTTAACCACATCTAAGCCCCACTGATTTTAAATGGGAGATGAGCTGGTGCTTTAACCCTTCACTGAAATCAATGGACCTTTAAATGTGTGCAATGTTGGCAAGATTGTACTCTTATTTCCTTAAATGCTGAGTATTTATAGCCATATTGGTTGTGTTTGAAGGTTGTTATTAGCAAGGATGTTTATCCTTCAGCTCCTAAAAGCTTTGTACTGTAGATAAACTTTATGTTGGTCCAACAAAAAAGTTTCCAATAGCATTATGGCCTTCCATTGATATACGTAATAGTTTTAGGACCCAACAGCACATGTAGTTGAGAAGGGGCTTCTCTCAATACAATATAGCACTTTCAATTCTGTCTAAGCAAATACTTATACTTGTTGTATAAAATAGATTTGTGTAGTGTTTTGTGATTAAATTCAGTTTTGATTGGCAGCTAAGATATTTTTCGGTGGTTTTAATAATCTATGGTCTTTGCATATAGATATTTACAATTGCCTGGAAGACTGTTTTTTGCTTTGTGTGGCCTTAGTATATTTATTGACATTTAGCAAGTGTTTTAAAGAGGTTTTTATAATAGTGTAAATCAATGGGAAAATTTTAAGCCTCTGTGAATAATCCCTAACGCAGTGCATTTCTTTTAGTAGCTGACTGTACAAGCGTATCACTGTTAAAGCTATTTCTTTGTTCAAAAAATAGTAAATGGAATGCATAGATTTTCCCCCTGTAAAGTATTTTTTTAATAAACAGAACTCTGATTTGTCGTTAATGAAAATTGGTTTTATGCAGAAAAAAAGTGTTGGAGTTTGTTGGGCAGGATGGAAATACATCAGGAAAGCCACTGGAAGTTAAAGGCTGAAATCTTGTTCTTTGTTACACGTATGAAAGGCAAACATTTGATCACTTCTGGCTGACTTGGTGTTTGCTCAAGATTCCAGCAAGTACTTGTTGGCTGACAGCGAGACAGCACCGAATGTTACATTGTTTGCTTTCTGCATGGGTAACAAAAAAAAGTATTATAATTCTGAACAAATTAGTCCCTGTGAATTAAAAAATGTGGAGTAAACTGTACCACTTCTAGATTCTGTGTGCCTTATCTCCTTCTAAAAGGAGGTCTAAATCCACTAATTCCATATTGTACTATAAAGTTTGCCAAGACTGCCTTTAAAATGGGGCTATATGAAAATCATATAAATAGTGTGAATAACAGAAAGTGCCATGTTATTTGAGCTTCAAATCTTTTGAGAGATAAGTTTTATAGTTAATCATACCTCTGTGGACTTTAAAATCATGCTTTCAGTTAATATTACTGATCATGTTAAGAGAGGACACATCTCCAAGGCATATTCATTCCAAACTGTATTGGCAGTTATACTAGAAAGCAAATCAGTCTATGCTGCGGTAAATGCAACCTAATCTCTGCCTCACTCATGCTTAAGTATCTTGCATTTCTCACTTCCATGTCCTCTAACTAGTTATATTGGTGTACTACAAACTGTGTAACTCTTGGAGGCAAATCGCCCTCAGTCATGTACTGAATTGTAGGAGTTGGTGTGTAAGCGATAATGTCTACATTGATTTGTTAACTTGGAGCAATTTGGCTCCAAAAGTTACATATACTATTTGCATAGTTATGCAAAAGAATTTTGGTCACTGTTGAAAATTTGGTATGTTCATCAAAGTAGATAATTTGTCTTCCATAGCGTGAATAATTTGAATTAAACATCTCAATAGTTAACATTTGTTGTGATGAACAAACTGGAATTTTTAACATGTATACATTACTAAAACAGTGATGTCTACATTGGCTTGGCCATGTCTTGAGAATGGCTGATGGGTGGATTCCAAAAAATCTCCTGTATGGACAATTAGTGCAGGGAAATTGCCCCAGAGAGAGACCACAGCTGCAATAAAAGGATATCTGCAAGTGGGATCTGAAGGCCTTAGGAATGGACCTCAACAGATGGGAAACCTTGACATCTGAGTGTTCAGCCTGGAGGCAGGCGGTGCATCACGACCTCTCCCAATTTGAAGAGACCCTTGTCCAGCAGGCCAAGGCAAAGAGGCAGTCCCGAAACAAGCAAAATCAGGGAGCTGGACAGGGGACAGATTATATTTGTCTTCAGTGTGGAAGGGATTGTCACTCCTGAATTGGCCTTCTCAGCCACACAAGACGCTGTTCCAAGTCCTCCATACAGAGTACGTTACCATACTCTCTCAAGACTGAAGGATGCCTAACCAGGTGAACAGGATTTGGCAGGGCACAGCCTGGATCCTATTTTATGTATCTTAGAAGTACAGGTATTACAGACGTAGGTCCCACTGCTCTCTGATGCTGCCTTCACTACAACTCTGCTTTCCCTTTCCTAAAGCTGGATGTGCTCTTTGCATTTGTCAGGCACACAGCCTGGCAAAATGGCTAGTGAAAGAGATCTGTATCCTTCCCCATTATCTCGCTATTTTAAAAAAATGTAAAAAAAGGTATTTATTATTCTAGTGAGCTCTCCAACAAACTAGTTAGGCATCCTTCAGTCTCGAAAGACTATGGTAGCGTGCTCTGTATGGAGGACTTGGAACAGCGTCTAGTGTGGCTGAGGAGGCCAATTCGAGAGTGACAATCCCTTCCACACTGAAGACAAATCCAATCTGTCCCCTGTCCAGCTCCCTGGTTTTTCTGCTTTTGTGATTTCCTCTTTGCCTCGGCCTGCTGGGCAAGGGTCGCTTCAAATTGGGAGAGGCCACGATGCACTGCCTGCCTCCAGGCTGCCTGCCTCCAACAAACTAGAGGGGGAAAAATCAGCAAAGCACCTGGTGAACCTTAAATCACATGTGCAGAAGAGACACTGTCAACACAGCCTCACACTGCTCTATTTTCAGAAGTACTTTTCCTAACACAAACACAACTGGGTACATGCGTAGGAGTTATTTCTATTGGACTCAATGAGACTGCTCTCCAAACAGCACTGAAAACCACAGCAGGGTTGCACTGGGTTATACAAAGTACTGTACACATTGTTCGCAGATAACAAGATTACGTGACTGCGGCACTACCTCTGTTCTGGGGCAATAACTGGTGCTGCCCAGAAGGAAGTTATTTTCGTTTCTCAGGTTACTTGTCAGGCACCGCTGGGCTTTACAGGGGCAAAACTAGCTTCCTCGCTCGTTCGGATACTTCTGCAGGTCGCAAAACCAATGACACTTCCAGGCAAGCGCCACTCAGCCTCGTCGACTTGGCCTGACGAGGCTCGTTTCGCTAATTCCTTCCGCACAGAACAGGTGGCTTGGCAGCTTCGGAAGCGAGGATAAAATACAATTTGTCGCTAAGCTGCCTGCGGATACCCAACGCACCCGCCTTTCTCCTTGTGACAGCCGGAGCCACCTCCTGGTGCCAATTTGAATCTTGGATTGGGTGCTCAGCTGCTGCTGCCTGTTTCCCCACTTCCCCTTGGCGGGGAAGGATCGGTGGATGCGGCGCTTGACTGATGCTGCCTGCCGCTGAACGATGGATGGTCCAGGCAAATGCCGCCGGGAGCCCCCTCCGCGAACCGGGAGCCGCGTCTCCCCTTCGGCTTTCCCGCGTTTCCATAGAAACGGCGAGAAGCTCTGAACTGCAAAGACCGGGAGTTCGGCCTTGTCGGGTTTGTGGGAAAGGTATGGAGGGGAACAGTTTGCTGAGACCGAGACCACCGGGAAGGTGGTGGGATAAAAAGAGGAGGGGGGGGAAAGTCGGAGGGATCGATGTGGACGTGG